AAAAAAAAAAAAATCCCAACTCTTTTCTTGATTGGACCATTGATTGGTCCTTTGATGGACCATTGTCCAACCTAGACGATGTCAGCTGAAAAGAAAAGTCATTTCAGATGGTGAAGCAAGTTATTATATCTTGATGAAAGATTAGCAAGACAAACTTGTCAGGATAATATGACCAATGAATCATGCACAATAAGACCAGGAACATATTAATAAAGTAAAGAGGGCCAATTTTGATTTGCTGTTGACTTGAGTGTTTATTATTCCCATAAATCATAATTTCGTATTACTGTCTGGTCATGTAGCTCCACTTGTTTATCTCTCTGTGGCCTTTTGTGAATTCACTGGGTTCACCCAATGTTTCTGAACAGTCCCTCTCTGCCCAGACTGAACGCCTTTATATTTCGTCCGCGGATGACTTCAGGAGCTCAGCGGTACACTGAAATGTCAGACTGTATATCACGTCATTTTAATATTTCTACTCCATCTTTTGGGTCTTTGCTACCTGGCAGGGATAATTGAACTGACTCACCAGAAGAAAATGAAAAGGCCTTGTTTATCACAAACTTGGTTAAATGAACAAATCAGCCACATTAACTTAAACTATACTTTGTTTGTTTTCATTAATTGCTTTTAAGTACTGTAGATCAAAGAAACATTAGTGTATCGTAACAATGCAGCATTTACATGCAGATAAAATCAACAATAATTTATTATGTAAAGGTTTGTATTGTGTTTGTATTGTACTTTAATCTGTAGCATTTGAATGAATATAATTTTTTTTAAAAATAAAAAAAAAATGATTCGCCTATTGTCTTCATAAAATGGCAGCGAAAATAAAATAAAATAAAAATGACCTAGAGTGTCCTGTTGTTTGTATAAAATGACAGTGAAACAAACGAAAGAAACATTAACAGGAAATTATAATTCTAAATTCTAATATTATAATAAAATAATATAATAAAATATAAAATCAAATAAAAAACTTTTAAATCACCTCGAGTGTCCTACACTACTTTTTATAATTTGACAGCAAACCTAACAACAACAAAAAAATTAAACAAAAACTTCAATATAAATTGGAAAAATAAAATATTATTAAATAAAATGACACATTACCCAAGATGAGGGAAACTAAAATTAAATAAACAAAAAATAATAAAATAGGATAAATAATAATAACCTTGAGTGTCCTATTGTTTTTATAAAATGACAGTGAAACAAAACAAAACAAAAAACTGGAAAATAAAACACTAAAAATAGCTTAAATATAAATTGTAAAATAAATTAATAAATATTTTGTAAAACAAAATAAAATTAAAAATGTATCCTAAAACTTTGTTTATTTTTAGCTAGATTTTAAATCCCACTTTAATGGGCTCACAGACTTTTGGACCCCATTGTATATTTCATTGCCTGTTTTTATTACATTGGACTAAAGGTTTCCAAAAGGGACAGATGGAGCTGTTTTCTGTGTCTTGGGTTAGCACACGCCATATTCCTGAAGTGTACACAAGCGTTAGACATCTCAACAGGATTTCTGAACGGCAAACAAAATGTCTGGGTGTTTGGGGGGAAGTCAGCAAGCAATATCAGATAGTGACAGAGACAGAGAGAGAAAGAGAGAGAGGCTCGGACAGTAACTAAAGCAAAGAGGTCAGATGAAATATCTGACTAACAGCTCCTCGCTAAAGCCTAAATCACCGCATACGCAAACGAGATGAAGCGAGACAGCTAAAGATTAATTAGTAGCACTCACCACATTCCCCGTGCATTGTGCCCTGTGAAAGGCTTGCAAATAATAAAATTGACCTTTCCATGCTAACGCATCTTGATAATGCTAAACTACAGTGTGTAGGTGGTCTAATAACTGCTATTGCATAAAAACACCACTATGTGATGATTAAGGGGGCTTTGTGTAAGAATACGCTTGTATGATATGTTACACAACCTAGAAACTTACAATCAGCTTATGTAATGTGTTAAAATAACGATCATAGAATATACTATGACAAGCGGCCGTGCTTGTTAGCAAAACCGAGCCAGGGTT